GCTGCTCCGAGACAGACAAACGTAGATTGTTAAAGTTTTTAATGTTTTATTATAAGGGTGGGTGGGAGGACTGAGTGAAGGAAGGGGGGGGGGGATTATTCGTGTGTTATATTTATATATATATATATTCGTATATTTTCATTATTTTCTTCCCTAATTATTAATCAACGGCCCCTTGAAAATCAGCTACAAGGAACTGTAGATAAACTTGCTGAAGGGCTACCGTTGTATATGTGTGTAAATAAGATTAAATAATAATAAATAATAATAATAATAATAATAATAATAATAATAATAACAACAATGACGACGACGAAGACGAAGAAGAAAACAGCGGCAGCATTATAGTAGCAGCAACAACGGTGACAAGCAACAACAACAACATCAATAACGACAACGACGACGACAACAACAACGGCGGCGACAACGATAAGAACAGCGGCAGCAATAGCAGTGACAACAACAGTAACACGCAACAACAACATCAACAACGACGACGACGGCAGCAACAAAATGAAAAATCTTCTTTAATAAAAACATTAATTAATTTTTATCATCACATTAATTTTCATTTCATAACCTTTTGACCACATGCAGGTATCAACAGTGGACGACTGGAAATTTCCTCTGGTGATCTGATTGTACTAGACAAAAACTGCAACGGTGAAACCATAGAAGTAACTGGACGAGGCCATGGTACATGTCAAAGAACTGGCTTGTCAGGAGATGTTTCTGGTGGAGTATACTATATTATTCCAGTTATTGAAGCTCCAAGTGAATCATTGCTTGTAAGTTTGCACACGCAATTTTTCATGCAATTTCTCTTGCAATTTTTGAATAAAAGCCACTGTTAATACATTCCAAGCGGTACGACACTGAGCATTGGCTTTCACATATCACTTCAGCCGAAAGTCGTAGAAATACCAGCAGCGAGGGGCGCACCTTCTCCAATGGACGTTTTCCCTTATAACTAAAATTTTGATCTAGACAAAATTTTCATCATAGCCTGAAAGAGCATGACAAAAATTACTAGTAATATTCCAAAGTTTCGTTGCGAAATGTTGTAAAATGCGGATAATATAGCCTTGCGAAATTTGCCGTTTTTCAGTCATTTTGTATTACGCACGGGAAATTGACAGCCCAATCGGG